GTCGGGATAGTATTATGAGGTTTTTTTCCTGGTTTTTCCCTCCTAATTTACTGTGGAATCACTAACAGGAGAATTTTACTGTCATCATGTCATGTGTTTGTCTTTTTAAAGACGAATTAGATGCTATGATTTTTTCTGACGGATATTCTCAAGTTAAAGTTGATTTCATGTAATCGATTGAACTATCTTATAAGTAAAGTCGTCCCAGGAGCGCAACTCAACAATATTGGCAATATCATTTTAAAGTCGTCTACTTTAAAATGCATAATGTATGTCTGAATTGTCAATATAAATGAGTCAGATAAAATTAAATTATTAGAAGAATTTTTTCACTATGTAACAAAAAACAAAATTTGTTTAATTTACGGTTTGTATTTTGAGAACGATTTCCGAATTGGAAATTGAAACGTCAATAAACGTATTTTTATCTTTAATTGTGGCTTATTCCCAGTTATAAATAGTAATTAAATATGTTAAATAAAAAATAAAATAAATATATATGTTGTGGGAATAAATTCTACAAAATTAAGCAGTCAACTTAATAAAAAAAGGTTAGCAGAAGGCGGTCTACTTAATTATCTTATAAAATAAATATACTTCCCTATGCAAAGAGGAATTAGCAAAGCAAATAGTAATTTTGCAACAATTGACTCCTTTATCCTAGGCACATTCGTCGTCCAATAATAAGTTTTGCTCATTAACATTTGAGCATGTTGAAAACTTTTATGTATGGTCAATGAATTCAGTGTCATTGCCGCAGTCATATATACCAAAACAAACAACAAAAACTTCAAGGTAAGTATAAACCGGTTTAAAGTTAATTTAAACTATTTATTAGTCATTGCTTACTATGTCTATTTTATACAAAATAGTTATTTGTCTTAAGTTATGGTTTGTCATGTTCATCTGAAAATATTAACTCTTAAAGAACAATTATATTTATTGATGGAAACAAGCTGAAAGCTGATGGAAAAAATGGAAAACTTTTACGTTTACTTTTAAAACTAATTAACTAAATAGAACTAACAACGAATGCAACAAAAATAATAAAACAATAAAACTATATTAAATCAAATAACAGCGCGATTATACAAATATTTACTAGAATATATTAAATCGTAGCAACCTAAATATTATATTTTAAATATACATGGAAGATTTTATGGGTTTAGTATACACTTCCACTATTTAGAAATATATTCTTCTTTTTTCGAAGATAGAAGTCTGCAATAGCAAGTATATTTGGGCTATTAAGACTGAGAGGTAGAAACTTTTGTATTTTCTACAATAAATCTGTCAAAATATGCCCGAGCTAAGACAATTAACAGTATCACCAAATTCATTTCTAGTTTTATACCCTAGTCCTTTACGTATCGCTTCATATGCTGGCCATAATGCTTTATTATATTTCTATCAGTAATTTAAATATAATCTTTTCAAAGCGCAAATTTCGTATCAAATGTTCATAATGACAATTTGGTAACATGTTTTGAGTGGATTGGCAGAACATGGAAATAGATCAGATAAATAAAACAAATTCGATTTTATAATTTTAATAAAATTTTATATTTCTTATTTTTCGACAACTTCCGATATCTCGCCTTGATTTAAGTATTTTTATTTTAAGCTTTGACATTATATTATACCAAAGAAAATTTTCTTAATAAATCAGATTTATCCAAAGTCTCAATTTTTACTCTATTCAAAATTGCGGGAATATTGTAAAATTTGGTAAATTTCAATTAGAAATTTTTTCTAATTGAAGATGTGTGGCAGAAATCTTTCAATTTTGCTTTTTAAACAATTACAAGTTAAAACAATATATCTAAGGACGCTTCCTGCAAAGTTTCCGATTTTCCAACTAAATTATCAAAAAGTTATAACGACTTCTATTACATTCTACATCACATTATAAAAGAAATTATATTTCATACTACTTTAAAAAACAATTATCATCATCATTATCAACCTGTATGCGTCCACTGCTAGACATAGGTGTCCCTCAGCTCGTTCCATCTGTCTATGTCTTGTAAGGCTTGCACTAAGTTAATGTTAATGCACTTCAGGTCGTCAGTCGATCTGGTTGGTGAGCATCCTCTGCTCCGTAGTGTTTCTTGTCTTGGTCTCCACTCAACAGTAAGTTTTTTCCATAGGTTGGTAATATTTCCCCTTAATCAGTCATAAGTGAGCACAGGTAACACATATTGATCAAAAACTTTTGAGCCAAGGGTAGGTCCGATTTATTTACACAGCTTAATTTACCAAACGCTGCCTAGGTTAATCATATTTAACTTGGGAGCTCACATCTCTGGTTATTTTTATCCATCAAAATTTCATGTTCTAAGTACTCAAAAAGCAATATTAGACTAGAAAATCATTCAAAAATTAATGCTCTTAAAAATTGATATTTAATTGAGAATTTTTTTTGCTCTGAAACACTACTTATAGCAACACGAATCAAAGCAAGTATATACATCACAGCAGTCTAATTTTTGCATATACAAGCACAAAAATACTTTGTAATTTATTGCAACATTTCGTTCGAAATGATTTGGATGTAACTTATCCTCTTGTTAAATTCATTCGTACTCCGTTACTTCATATGAAGTAATTTTCAACAAAACAGCCAGATTTCACTTAATTTGCCACACATGCCTTTATATATGTTGTTTTAATGCCGATTTTAAGGGAGTCAATTTATCTATAGATGTATCTTTTTCTAGCTAAAGCCATAGCTAAACTCTCCCTAAGTATGCCGTATTGTCAGACTCCAGTAAGAGCCTAAAAAGAATTCAATTCTGACAGGCAACGGTGGGGGAAATCTTTTTTGGACATCTACGTCATGGAACAAGGCACTCTGGCATCTTTCGGCCGAGTAGGATACTAGGCCAGAAGACCCCAGGGTAGTGCCGGATTAATCGTGTTCTGGCTAATACTCTAACCACCGTTCCAGGGAGGTGGTATTGCTACTCAATGAACAACTAAAATAAAACTAAAAATTTATAAATAACTATACCTATTACCGTAAATCAGAAAGATTTCAGACGTTAGGCCATAAACTATATACCATAAATTTCAGATTCCTGGCCTTATTTCTTCCTCTACCCTTCCTGTTTCTTCATCACCCCAGAAATCAGACAGTGTAGTACTCTCTATTCTTTCTCTTCTCTCAACATTATGTTTATAATGTTTCTTTCATCCAGCCAGAAACCCATTCGCCTGTCGAAGTCTCTCCCCTCTCATTTGTCCACCTCTGGCAGTTAAAAATGTGGGCGCGAGCCAACATTCAAAACACATAGTTAAAAATGTGAAAGGGAGCATCCGGTATCCCACAAATCTACTGAGGCATATTTATTTATTCTATATGTAAAGATGCAAAAACTACCATATCTGGTTAGAAACTGTGTCAGGAAAGCAGTCTAGTTTCCTTACATTCCCACCACGGCCTTAGATCGGAAATAAGCTCCTTCGTTCACCTTGACTTCCCTCTATCTTTCGCTCATTATCTCTGCTACTCTACTATTGTTCTTTCTCTTTCATTATCATCTATATTTACATTCATTCTTCTCGCATACACCCTCCCTCGCTCTTTGCCCAACAAAACGATCGGTATCACCGCTCCAATGACATATAGAGCGTCATTTGAAACTATCCTATATGCGCTAGATACCCTGAGGAGCATTCGCCTTTGCGAAGTCTCCATCAGCTTAACGTATTTTGCAGTGTTTACTACGCTATACCACACAGGGGCAGCGTAAGTTACCACCGACTGGAAAACTCCATTTAGCAACTTTCTTTAGATGCTACCTGGGCCTCCAATATTTGGCATCATCCGTATCAAGGCCTCTAGATTTCGGTTCGCCTTCTTTACCTTTTTTTGAATGTGTACTCCGAACTTTAGTTCTTCCGACAACCAGACTACCAGATAATTAACCGATTTAACCTGTGCAACCTCCGCACCTTCCACTATAAAGCGAAGAGAGGTTTTCCCGGCTCCCTTTGAGAACTAACACCTCAGTTTTCTGAGGCGCTAGCTGTAGATCGGTCTCTCTGATCCACCTACTAATGCGACGCAGTGCTGTGTTAGCCGCATTAGCCATGTCCGTTTTCTGACTGGCGTTCGCAACCAGTTCGCAACCATCCCCGTGGCATTTGTAGCCTCAACACCCTGTCGTAGGAGGACATTTCACAGGATGGGAACTACTACTGAACCCTATGAAACAGCCTTCGACAAATTAATGCTGGTATTTTTATATCATATGGACTTGTCAGTAAAGTATCTGTCAATTAAGTTGACCAGGTACTCACTAACGCCCAATTCTTTCAGTCACTGTATATATTTGCCTTTAATTTTTTTAAACGGCCATATGCTGAACGTACGAACCATAATAATATATGCCCCGTCATTTTGATATCATTTGATGCAAGCCCCAAACTTTCCCTTAGATTCTTATTTTTAATCTTATCATTTTCTGTCATTATAGTCATTTATCTAAGCAATTTATGCAATACGCATTCGCTGTATGTATCTCTTTCTTCTTAACTGACAACCATTCAGTTCCGTACATCATATCTGATGTTATGACAGTTTTGGTTTTCAGTTCGCCTAGTTATTGCTGATAAAATTGGATAATTGAATATAGAACTAATTTTTGCAACGTATATTTATTTAAGCAGAAAAAAATAAACTCAATCATACCCATAAAAACTTAACTCAATAAAAATATATAATTGAATAAATATATAAGTGAATAAAAAATAGATATTGTTAGGTCACTGTTACGGTCCCTAAGGGTCATTTAGTTAGGAAAAAAATACCACATTCTTTTAAAATCATAAATTGTTTGTATGCGGCAATAGTGGCTCTAAAAGAACTATTCTTTTGTAAAAATGTCAGGTTGATGAGATTTCGTGAAAATTAATGTTCATTTTATGTTTTATAATGCAACATACAACATTGTCTCACTTTGTAATTTTTATTTTATATCTCTTAATTTTAGAGATTTTTACAGAAGTTATAAACCACAAAACAAGCTATGTAAAAAAGATACAAACCTTATCCACGATTTATTTTTAAAAGAGTTTTTTGAAATAATAACCACGAGATTTGGACCAGAAACCCTGAAAGCTGTCAAAATATTACTAAGAAAATGGCAATTTGATGATACCTGTCGATGTGTTGTTCGAGATCCATCGATTTTCTGTTATCCACTTTCTGAAAAAGAAAATAAATATGTTGAGATTATGAACAAAAATGTTACAAAAATTCAGTCATTCTTTAGAGGAGTTTATGAAAGGATTATGACAAGCCACCATGATACAAAGTCAAAACGTTTTTCAGCAACGACAGAGATATTATATAAAGTTTGTGAAAAGTTTGATGAGCATAATAAGATTTTGGGTAAGTGTTGTTGTTGTTTCTATTTATTTTACCCTTTTATTTAACTACCAAGGTAAATCGTAAAACCCAGTAAAGACCTGGATTGTTTTAAGCAAAGTGACAAAATAAAATTACCGGAAAAGGTACAATGCGATTCACTTCACTTCGATTCACACTTCAAAGGTTGTTTTGGAAGAGATCAACAAATTCAACAGGTATTCGTTTGAAAGCCTGTAAATTACTATAAGTAGAATCGTACAAATATGAGTATACCCAAAAAAACAACGAAAACAAGAGTGTATTGCATTTCATAGAGACCGACCTTACAGTTAAAAAATGTTACCTAGAGTTAAATATAAACTACTATAATATCTATAATTATTAAGTAAAATCCGTGCTAACTTTGGAATTTTGTTTGTCGTCCATATTGGATATATAAGTTATACCTGTAAAAACCTATATGCTGTAACGTTTTTGCTTCATTGACCATGTAAAATCCCATAATTTATGCTTAATAATTTTTTGTATTACTTTTAATTAAAAAAACCTAATGAAATATTGCCGGAATAAGCAATCTACTAGTTACTAGCCTACTGCTTAGGATGGATAAGCTAATAAGTGAAAGGACATTCTGTTGTCCTGATACTGAGAAATTGGTCTCGAAGGCGGAAGATCCAAGAAAGTGGTCAAAGGCATCAGAATGGAGAAGGCAACGAGAAACCACTGCATTAAAGGTCTTTGATGACATCTCGAGTATAAATTATAATGACTAGCACTATTTGCGCAAGAGACATTATTGATTATGGTAATCGGAGACCAAAATCCGGCAGGAAAGGAAAACCATCAGAACGTAAGGCCTCCTCGGTCGTCAATATGTAAAACGCTTGCACAAAATACCAAAAAAAAAATACTTAATCCTCTCACATAAAAATAGCTACCTGGAATGTAAGCAGTATGTATCCGCCCGAAAAACTAAACAATGTTATTAAAGAGAAAGAGGGGCTAAATATAGATATACTTGGGGTTAGCGATGTACAATGGTCAGGAAATGGAAAGATATCAATAACTATCCACAATATCTATTAGACTGGAGGAGACAAAACTGATCGTCGATACGGAGTAGCTTTCATCATAAGCAACACTATTAGAAAATCAGTGCTAGGTGTGATTAAAATCTCAGAAAGAATAATAATGCCAATAATTCAACACGGAACTGTAATATTAATTTGATCCATGTCAAATGAAAGTCTATGCTTCCACAGCTCATAAGACCGAATATTAGATTGAAAAGTTTTATTCACGATTGCAAAATATAATCCAGTTAACAAAATCTTGAGATATTACTTACATTTTACCAGAATTTAATGCAAAAGTTGAAGTAGATACAGTTGAAAATATAGTTAGACAGTTTGGTCTAGGAACTAGAAACGAGGCAGGAGAAAGGCTCATAGAATTCTACCAAGAAAAGAATATGGTAATTGCCAGTACTTGGTTTCAGCTTCCTAAGAGAAGACATGGACGTCTCCTTCACATACAAAAAACCACATTGTCAGAAACCTTCCTTTTCAAGTGCCATCTTCGTTCCGAAGATTGACGATCATCAGGGCTATACGTATTTTCAAAACTGCTGACCGAAACAATTCGTTGTCGCTGTAGCTATACCATTCCCGTAGATTCTTTAGCCAGGAGTTTCGTCTTCTTCCTATGGACTTTTTCTTGCTATTTTCCCTTGCATAATTATTCGATGCAGTTCATATCTTTCGCCTCTTCTAATGTGACCCAAGTATTGCAGTGTTCGTTTTTTTGATCGTAAATATGACTTCCTTTTCTTTGTTCATTCTTCTCAAGACCTCGACATTTGTGACTCTCTCGGTCCATGATATTCTCAGGATTTTGCGATACATTCAAAGTTCAAATGCCTTTAATTTTTTTATATCAATATTTTTCAAAGTCCATGACTCTATTCCGTAGAACAGCACAGAAAGTACGTACCATCTCATCAGGCGAAGTTTCATTTTAAGGCTCAAATCTCTTCCGCAGAACACTCTTTCCATTTTAGTGAATATGGATCTGAATTTTTCTATTCTTAGTTGGATTTCTGCTGAGCTATCGTTGTCTTCAGTTATAAAAGTGCTCAAATATGTGTATTTGCTAACTTGATCAATAATTTCATTGTGTAAATATAAATTTTGGACATGTTGTGTTGATTTCGATATTACCATAAATTTAGTTTTCTTTATGTTCAAAGATAGTCCATATTCTTCGCTTCAGTCTGCTATCTTATTCACCAATGTCTGTAGCTCTTCAAGTGTTTCTGCGATCAGAACGGTATCGTCGGCAAATCTCAGATTGTTTTTTCTAACACCATTTATTTTAATACCTACGGATTGCTCAGAGAGTGTTCTATTCATTACGTCTTGGGAATATAGATTAAACAGGGTTGGTGACAGTATACATCCTTGTCTCACACCTCGCTTTATTTCAATTTCTTAAGTGGTATTATTCTCTACTCTCACTGCTGCTTTCTGATTGTAGTACATATGTGCTATTAGTCGAATGTCTCGTTTATCTAAATTCTTTTCTCTCAGGAGTCTGATTAGGTGATCATGCCGCACTTTATCAAAGGCCTTGTTGTAATCTTGTTGTCAGCAACCAGATAGACTTTATAATCGTAAATAGACCTCAATTAAAACTTATTCTGGAGCAGATATTAACTCAGACTACAATCCGTTAATTGCTGACGTGAAAATAAAATTAAAAAGAATTCAACTAAGAAAACAATAACTAAAAATTGATGTAAGAATGCTACAAAACGAAAAAATAAAAAACGAATTAAAAAATAATGTGAATGTTAATATGCCAAAAACACTAACTAACAAAAAACAAATTATGGATGTAAATAAAAAGTGGTATGTGTACGATACGGGAATAATACCACAAGAGTGGCTAAAGTCAGCATTTATAACCATCTCTAAAAAACAAGCAGCAAAAGAGTGCTCTGATTATCGGATACTGAGCCTCATGAGTCATACTTTAAAAGTACTGCTGAAAGTAATATATAGGAGAATATATGAAAGGCTAGAGAAGGATACTAGCGAGACACAGTTCGGGTTCCGAAATGGAATGGGTACTCAAGAAGGACTAGTTCAGTGATGTCGGGATGTAAACGTTGATCAACACTTGTGCTTCGTTGACTACGAAAAAGTTTTTGATCAAGTAAGACATGAAAAACTAATATCAATACTTAGGAACAAGCGCATTGACAGTAAAATTATAAATATAGTGCATAAATTATATTGGAACCAGAGTGCCATAATTCAAGTTATTGGGCAACACTCAGAAGAAATGAATATCTGTAGAGGAGTTAGACAGGGATGTGTTTTATCGCCACTTTTGTTTAACTTATATTCTGAAAAAATTTTTCAAAACACGCTCAATAATATCAAAGCGGTAGTCACCGTTAATGGAGGAAACAATTTACGATATGCAGACAATACTGTGATCATAGCAACGAGTATACCTCATCTACAATATCCTATCGGAAGCTTGAGTGTGAATAGTGCTGAGGTGGGAATTACTATAAACACTAAAAAAACGAAGTACATGCTAATTAGAAAATTCACCTATTGACAACCAATGGTAACGTGATAAAACAAGTAGAAAAATATCAGTACTTGGAAACTTTGATCAATGAAACCAATAATAATACTGTAGAAATAAACATGCGAATAGAGATTGCCAGATCAGCATTTATACGAATGAAGCCAGTCCTAACGTGCAAAAATCTTAATTTGGAGATCAGACTACGTACCATTTGTTTTATTTAATATTTTAATATTATTATATGGAGCTAGACTTGGTCATTAAAAAGATGCGATTTAAAACGAATCGAGTCTTTCGAACTCTGGTTATACCGCAGACTATTAAAAATATCATACATTGATAGAATTACAAATAAAGAAGTACTTGAGAGGGTTGGTAAAGAAACAGAACTAATCACCATTATACAAACCAAAAAACTGAAATACCTATACCACGTGATGGAAGTAGTACTACTTATAGATTTACCAAAGAAATTAAGACGATGGGAGAAGTAGGTTAGAAAACTTTTCCAAGATAAAAGAGGTGAAATGCAGAAAATACCAAAAGGGGGGACCAAAATATGAAATTCTGAAACTCATGATATAGGGAAAGATTTAAGGAAGAAGATCTGTTGGCCAAAGGGAGAACTCATGGTTAAAGAATTTACGTGATTGGTATCAATGCAGATCGATTGATTTGTTTAGAGCAAGTTTTTAAACAAAAATAGCCATTATGATTGCCAACCTCCGTTGGGAGACGGCACTCTAAGAAGAAGAATAAAATATTGTCTTTTATAGAGCTTCCAAAAATACCTAATTGTTTTATCCAAATTGTTAACGTATTGTAAAATTGGCCTACTTCTGTATGGCACAGGGAATTGTGCATTAACATTCATATAACAACAATGGACTGGCTTCCATTCAGCCCGGATATAAATCCCATCTAGCACCTACTAGATGAATTTAAATGTAGGGTTCGGGTTGTAATCCAGCAGCAGCGACGGTATCGGAGCTAAAAACGATATTAGATAAAGAACGGGAAAATATTACTCAGGAATCAGTGAGAAACTTAATAAGGTCCTTAAGACATTTTATGGAAAGTGTAATGCAACGCAGGGGAGAAAATACTTAGTTTTAATTTGGATTTTTATGTTAATTTATTTTACATTCATTACATAATGACCTTTATTCATTTTTTTTTTCACGATATTTTACCTTTAATTTTACAATTCTACAATATGTATGTGGATGTACACCAGCCAAACAGTGTAAAGCGGAGTTTACATTGGTATAGTTACTTGCACCAGTTACTTGTACAAGTATATCCAGGACAGTTCACATACGCAAGTTGACATGCTAGTAAGTGTTTACACATAAAAGATTATTTATTTACCAGTTCCCGGCGACCACCAGATGCGTAAAGATGAAACATTTCTATTGCAGGCGCCGTGCTTTGTGCAATAATTCAAAATTAATAATTAAAAATCGTATTAAAAAATTATGTTGCGAATATCGAGAATTTTAATTGGAGAAGCTGTTAATTTGATTGAAGAAGAAAAATTTCGTCCAAAAAGGATATGGGTTTGAAGGTGGATTGATAGAAAAAGTACAAGAGGGGCATCCACTTTTCTTTTAAAAGAACTTCGTATGAAAGATCCTAAAGAATATAAATTATGCCTTCGGTTGATAACGAGTAAATTCAAATACTTGCTAAATATGGTTCTGCCTAGAATTAAAAAAAGTGACACGCTTTTAAGAGACGCCTTACTAGCGCACGTTAAATTAGAAGTTACCCTCAATTTTTTGGCAACAGAACTCTTCAACATTTTCTTCAAGTTCCAAAAACATCAATATCTAAGTTTGTACCAGAAGTTTGCGACGCAATTTCGGCAACAGTAAATCCCTCAACGCCCATGTGTTGAACTAATTGTTCTAAAGCTGCCGATCTCATTTGATTATTTCTATAACTTTGTTTGGTAACGTTCCAGAGACATTCGTATTTCCGATAAAGTTCGACAAATTTAACAGTTTCTCCCTCGTTGTGGCAGGCAGTTGTGAATCCGAAATTAGAAGACGCATTCAACTAGCAAGAGCAGCAATGAGTGAACTAAACGGGATCTGGCGTGATCGTCACATTACTATGACAAACAAAAAGAGACTCGTTTCAACTCTGGTCTTTTCCATATTTTACTATGCATGCGAGACATGGACAGTCAAAGAATCAGATCGACGACGTATAGACGCCTTTGAAATGTGGACATGGAGACGCCTGGTTCCAATTCCATGGACGGCTCGCCGTACAAATATCTCGGTTCTGGATGAAATTAAACCGGATCAGCGTCTCTCCAGTACCGTTTACTCTAGAATTTTAAAGTTCTTTGGCCATATCCATCGAAGTGATCACAAAATGGAGTGGTTGGTGGTCCAAGGAAGGCCTCAGACTCAACGCCAACGCGGAAGATCTCCACAGCGATGGGCGGACATTACTAAAAAGCTTATCAATAAACAGTATACTGAGGCAATACATATAACTGATGACCGCGACCAGTGGAGAAATATTATCAATCAAACTGTCCGAGCTGCTGAAGCCCAATTATGAACCACAACACATCTACTAAGATGTTAATGACTGTGATGATGAACTTCTAATTTAACGTGTGCTGGTAAGGCGTCTCTTAAAAGAGTGTCACTTCTTTGAATTCTAGGCAGAACCATATTTAGCAAGTATTTGAATTTACTCGTTGTCAACCGAAGGCATAATTTATATTCTTTAGGATCTTTCATACGAAGTTCTTTTAAAAGAAGAGTGGACGCCCCTCTTGTACTTGTACCTGTCCTCGCTACTGGTACAAGCACTTGTACAAGTACTTACCCGGTAGGTTGACATTGGGTTAGTTATTGCCTTACAAGCTGGTGGTACAAGCAACTAACCCGTTTATTATACCAATGTAAACTCCGCTTAATAAAAAATACCTATAACTTATTTTACTTTTGAGTCGTTTTTTTGCTCTGAAGTGTATAATATACGAATAGATGTATATATATTGTCATCCATGCTAGAAAGTTTTAATTTACTCAATTTTTAATATGTATGTCTATTTTTTTTAACTTGTTCCAAAAACACTGACGTATTTCTGTTTTTTCCCATGAACGTGTAATTTTCATGGTTCATGTGTTAGTCCACGTTGTGAGACCGGTCCCGTAGGAAAAATGTTTTTGATTCGATTTCTGTACGGTTTACTGTTTAAAAATGTCCCGTTTAAACAAATCTGAAGAGTATGGAAAAAATTTTTGGACAAAATTTGTTAAAAAATGTTTTTACAAAATTCCAAACAGCACCCTTTTTGCTCCGGAAAACAGAATTTTAAAGTTTTTTGTGTCATTTTAAACAAAAACGGTTTCATGTATGTTATCTTTATGTAAAGTTGACAGTTTTTGAGTTATAAACCATATCAAATCTAAAAAATGCAAAAACACAAATTTTCAATAACAGATATAAACACGTCGAAAAACGGACAATTTTGGACAGTTGCTATTTTAATAAAAGCTTGTTTGGCATAAAATGGTAATCGCAAATGCTTGAAATAAAAAGGCCCCGTAAGAACGAAACACACGTGAGAGCTCGACATTGGGGGAGATCATGTAAGAATATTTTGTTCCGCTTGCCACATACAGAGACACTATGTCATTCACTACTCTGATTATAAATAGGTATCAGCTAATTATGCAATAAATTGTGCTTATGTAGTTCTTAACGAAAGATCGCTGTTAATTGTAAGCCTAGAATATTTATCATCCTCAGCACTTCCAAAGGTTTAGATGCCTTAAAACTTTTGATATTCTCTAAAATTACATCAACAAATATAAAAGTGCACTTTCAGTGACAATATATGTTATCGCCAACCATTATTAAAGTTTATTTATGATTGCACTCATTTATGGTAGTAAAATAAGACTTTATTGTACTGAACGAAGAAAAATTTTATCTGCCGCAAATAATAATTAAGTTGACCAAAATTAAATGTCACTGGTGGATAGCAGTAAGCGATTATTTATTTGAATGAACTTAAATATTATCCTATTCTAATTATTAAAAATATTGTACCAAAATAACATTACGATTAATTAAATTCATGTAAAAAAGTGAAATTCTATAGTATTTTGTAATTATATTCATATAAATATGAAGTTTTTATTTTATCTAAAACTAAAAATTATTTAAACGTTAGAACCAATTTGAAATTATACAGTAGCGCTTGTAGAAGAAATAGAAGAAGTGACATGTACGTCACCTGAAATACATAAGAAGTCATTAGAGACAGCTTCAGAGCTTCTTTCATCAAAATATGTTAAAAAATATAAAATGTAATCGGCATTACCAGATATTTGAAAAAAGGTCTGAAAAAATAAAACTGTTGTAGTTATGACTACATTTATTTTTTGTATATTCGAGCAATAAAAAGAATATCTAAAATATTACCATTATTTGTTAATGGTTTTTATGGCTATCGATAAAATTTTGTATGCATCACGTCAATAAACACTATTTATGGAACTCGTCTGTTACTCGCCTCGCTCGCGATATCAGACTCGTTCGATAAGAGTTACTTTTCCGACTTGGTACATAAATAAATATTGTAAAAATTTAAAACACAATTTTTGGTGTTTTAGTAAATTAATATAATTTTATAAATGTTACTCTATTTCCTTTTGTTCGTTTATACATTAATTACTACTCATTTTTATAGGTGCATATACTTTATGTAAATTCATTGAGAACCCGGACATGAAACAATTTAAGCAGCATTATGCCTGGTATGAGGACAAGCTAAAAAAATTGTGTACTGTACAATATTGCCATATGAATAACATTGAAAAGGGATGGAATCTTATTACAAGGCAAAGTTTTCTTGTTAGATCTGGTCCCCCAATAAAGGTAATAATATTTAGGCTTTATAATTTGAACATACACATGTATATTATAAAATTTGTTGATAATTCTGTATTTCATATATTCTAGGCTTACTTAATCAACAGCGATCTTTCGTTAAGGACTACATAAGCACAATTTATTGCATAATTAGCTGATACCTATTTATAATCAAAATATTCCAATCAAATGTCATGTCTGTACTACTTTACGGATGTGAAACCTGGAAAGCGACAAAAACCCTTACAGACAAACTGCAGGTCTTTGTTAAGAAATGTCTTTGAAGAATTGTTCGTATTTTCTAGCCTAACATCATAGAAACGAAGATTTACTACACCTGACCAAACAAAAGAGGGTAGTAAATGAAATAAAGTCCAGAAAGTCGGGTTGGATCGGTCACACACTCCGAAAAAATAACTCCAGTATTGCAAAGACTGCCCTAGAGTGGAATCCCCAAGGAAAACGAAAAAAAGGTCGCCCAGTACAAACTTGGAGAAGATCCATCATGGACGAGATAAGAAAACAAGGAAAGTCTTGGAATGAGGTGAAGGCCTTAGCGCAAAATAGAACCCGATGGCGCGTTTTCACTGAAGCTCTATGCTCCACTTAGGAGTTCAAGAACCATATATATATATATATATATATATATATATATATATATATATATATATATATATAACAATTTATTGTGTTGGAATATCGGGTATGCGGTCTGTTATTATTAAAAAAAACTCTTTTTTCTTTTAATCCTCTATATTTCGCTGATTTTTTGTCAGCTTCATCAGGAGACAACTAAAAATTTGAATAAAAGTTATATAAAAATCAGTTTGAATAAAAAGTGACTCACTTACAGATTTAGAGTGGAAAGTATTTAAACAAGTTGAACATAATGTTAAATACTTTCCACTCTAAATCTGTAAGTGAGTCACTTTTTATTCAAACTGATTTTTATATAACTTTTATTCAAATTTTTAGTTGTCTCCTGATGAAGCTGACAAAAAATCAGCGAAATATAGAGGATTAAAAGAAAAAAGAGTTTTTTTTAATAATAACAGACCGCATACCCGATATTCCAACACAATAAATTGTTTTTTACGTTTCGGTCGATAATCTTACCAGTTTTGCTATATATATATATATAATATATATATATATATATATATATATATATATATATATATAGCAAGCGGAACAAAACATAAAATAAAGAAATTATTCAGTGCCTTTTAATTATTTCGTTAGGTCTTAAGTGATATGAAGAGCAAACTAGAGAACTATGCACATGGCAACTAAAATACCTAACGTGATATATTACTAAAGTATCGTAAAGTAAAGTCGATTATAAATATCACAAGGAAAATTGATAATGATAACTACTAATAGAACAACTACGAATAAAATCGATTTTGGTAATAATTGGAAAATAAAAAAATAAAAGTAAACATTAACACCACGCTTGAATTTATTTAAAAATTAAAACAAGCATAGTCCACTAATACACCAAATGATGAAAAATGTGTATACAGAAATATCAAGGTTTTATAACTACATACGGGATGTAAAAATAAAGTTGTGTTTTTTCATCTAATTTTGCAATACCCTGTAGAATGTATTAGAAACAAACGCTACATGTTATTAATATCTCGAGATTGCTGGAATTCGAGATCCTTCTTTCGTTACATTTTCGTAAAAAAATCATCTCGATATCTTAATTATCAAAAAAGGAAAGTATGTTCAAAGAATTACGTGATTTTCTAATGTTCAAAATTAACGCACTACCTCAACTGTACCATAATTTTTAAGCTATTTTTCTTTTGAATCCTTATTTGGATTTTGATGATTTTTTTTCGCACTGCAGTTATATTTCTAAGTAATTACTGTATTAATGTTTTCTGAGAAATGTCAAAGGTTTTACCCATATACGCGATGTTAAAATAAATTTGATTTTTCATCTTATTTTCCAACACCCGGTGGAATGTATTAAAAGCAAATGTATTAATATTTTGAAAACGCTTCATTTTTTTTAATATCTTCGTAAAAAAATCGATTTCATCGATGTGTTTATTATCAAAAAAAAGTACTTTCAAAGCATAACGTGATTTTATCGAATTGTAATACTCATTAATGGAAAATGAAACTATGAAAAATTAGACAATTTGACAGGACAGTTTTAAACTGTCAATATTGTTCACATTTCAAAAAAATGTTTTGCTATTTGGCGTATGTTATATAGTTGACATGGACCGTATGTCAAGAAATCTAAGCCGAGATGAATATGTTCAATTACTTTAGCTGATGTAGGGTTAAGTTATCGTAAAATAGGCTTGAGCTTAGGAGTATCTCATACTACAATACCACAAATAATTCAACGTTTTCGAGAAACAAACGAAGATACGAGACGGCGTGAACAAAAAAGAGGAAGACTTACAACACCACATTAAGATCAGTTTATCAGGATTCGTGCTATAAGAGAACGTTTTCTCACAATAAGACATTTACAAATACAAGTAGCAAATATTCATAATATTCAAATTAGTAGAAACACTATACAAAGGCGTCTAGCTGAACAAGATCTGCATATAAGGAGACCAGTCAGAGTAGCAGCTTTAAACATAAATTGTCGTATAATTAGATTGCAATTTGCCAGAGAGTACCTTGACTGGAATGTTAATGACTGGGAGCACGTGTTTTTTACTGATGAATCAAGGTATTGCTTATATAGCTCAGATAGACATGTGAGAGTTATTCGCGGCCAAGAGAACGCTACGCACAATGCAATATACGACCTATTACTTTATTCAAAGGACAATCTGTAATGGTTTGGGGAGGAATATCTCTTACAGCGCGAACGGAACTTGTTGCTTTACGAAGAAGTTCCTTAACAAGTGAAAGGTATATTACAGACATTTTGTCTAACCATGTAGTTCGATTTGCTCCTTTTATAAAACATAATTTTTTTTTAATGCATGATAACGCTCGACCACATGTTGCACGTGTGGTCAGTGAATATTTGGACGAGGTTGGAATACAAACCATGAACTGGCCACGCTGCAGCCCTGATCTCAATCCCATAGAAAATTTGTGGGATATTATTGATCGTCAACTCAGGAGTCGACAACCAACACCTGTCTCTCTTGAAGACATAGAAGTTATGATAAGAGAAGTTTGGAATGCAATTGATCAAGACCAAATACGCCGCTTAATTTTAAGTATGTCTGGTCGCTGTGAAGAAGTAAGTAGATGTAAAAGTGGAAATACCCGTTATTAAGTGTTTTTAGGAGAAAGAATTGTTAAAGATTATTTAGGTTATATTTTCTTAGGCTTTATTTGTACTTAATGTCAATAAAGTTTATTTAAGTAATGATTTCTTTGCGTTAAATGTTAATAAAAACTTGTTACATTTAAAATTCTGTACAATCTTTAATAATAAAAATATCAAGATATTTTTTTACGAAAATATTAAGAAATGATACTTTATTTTTACACCCCGTATAAGAGAAAACGTTGATTTATTTTTTATAAAGCATTAAAACAGTGATAAACTAGAAATACACCTAAAACATCCAACCAAAACCATCAAAATCCAATAATTCGTTCAGAAGAAAAATAGAAACATTTTTTCGAAAAATTAGTTTTTTCCTAGTTAAATCTAGTATAAATCTACAATTAGTTTCTACGCATACAATAATTATAAACCGTTACATCAATATTATTTATTGTGTGAATAAGATTAATATTAAAAATTTTGATATTACAATGGCCTACACATTTCAGGAAATGGCAGATATGCATTTAACTTTGGGTAAGTTGGATAAGATTAAATTATGATTTTAATAAACTATCGGGAATATCGTAGGTGAATGTCAAGGAAATAGTGCAGTAGCCACAAGGCGTTATGTAGTAAAATACCCCAATCGAAATACACCCAATAGACGTTTATTTCTGACCAATGATCGTCATTTACGGGAAACGGGTACATTCCACCCGCAAGTTGGTGGCAATAGTGGTCGTCCAATAATGGATGCAACTGATGAAGATACATTTAGAAACCATTGAAGAACTCCCTGGAACAAGTTCAAGGGTAATAGCTGCTCAAATAAATGTTCCTCACGTAAGGGTTTGGAGGCATTTAAAGGATCAGCTGCTTAAACCCGATCACTTAACAACGGTTTAAGGGTTGTTGGTTGAAGATTATCCTAAAAGGATTGGATTTTGCGATTGGTCGTTAATAAAAAACACTTGAAATGTTAATTTTATTAGAAATATTTTGTTTACCGACGGGGCTACCTTCAGCAGAAATCGAATAACAAACCATTATAATGAGCACATTTGGGACAATGAAAATCCTCACGCCAAAAAAATGACTCATCACCAAAGGACTTTCAAAGTTATTGTTTGGACAGGAATTGTGGATAACAATCTAATGGGCCCAGTATTTCTTCCGAACAATTTAAATGGTGATAAATATTTGCAATTCTTGGCAAACGATTTAAAAGAGTATTTGGAAGTAGAGAATATTGCAATACGGCAAAATATGTGGTTTCTACAAATTTCGTTTCACATTACAGTAGTAAAGTACTAGAATACCTTTGCAGGCAGTATTCTGGTCAGTGGATTGGAAGGGGTATTCCTTGGCCGCCCAGAAGTCCAGGTCTTAACCCCATGGACTTTTGCTTTTGGGGGTTTATGAAAGAGAAAGTGTATTCTCTAACAATGGAGGACGAACAACAATTGAGGGTAAACATAATTGAAGCTGCAAATCAATTTTGTCAAAAAAATATGATTTTTCAGCGCATTCGGTTTTCCTTATTAAAACGATACCGAATGTGTATTGAAGAAAATTGGGGTCGTTTTGAACATTTATTGTAATATCATATCTATAAAGTTTATAGACATTTTTTGTACTTGTTAATTCATTTAAGCCATTTATTTAGTTGCACATAATTTTTTAAAGGTTAATGAAAAGTACCGTAACTCAATAAAAACTGTGTTTTGAAAAAAGTGAT